ACAAAAAAAGCGATGCATCTATCGTATGGGTAATGATTACAAAGTTTCAAAATTACTGTAATAAGTTTTAATTATCAACTTGCAAATTATATATTCCAAATTTATAATTAAGGAAAAACTTTGGTTATAAAATTTTATATTATACGTATTAATATGCGTAATATACAGGAATGATTGTTTTGTGCTAAGAAAAGATGTAAAAAATCTCGGAAATTGGTCCGGGGCCAATCAGATAATTTATTAAGAATTTGTTTATATATATATATATCTATCTGATATATATATGATATTAAAAAAAAAATACTAGCTCAAAAAAATTACTAAAAAAGTTCAAAAAAACCGGAGAATCAAAAGAGTCCAAAAACCACCAGGAAAGAACCACTGGGAAAATCCAAAAAGCCTAGGAAAGAACCACTGGGAGAATCGAAAGAGTCCAGGAAAGAACCACTGGAAGAATCGAAAAAGTCCAGGGAAGAACCACCGGGAGAATCCAAAAAGAATCACTGAGAGAATCTAAGAGTTAGAAACGACCCGAAAGAACCACCAGGAGAATCGAAAGAGTCCAAAAACCACAAAACAAATCCCAAGAGTCCGGAAAAGAACCACTGAGAGAAACGAAAGAGTCCAGGGAAATCGAAAAAGTCCACTACTCAGGAAACAAAGATCCAAGAATCACCGATGGTTCTTTGTGGACTCTCTTGGTTCTCCAGGAGAATCAAAAGAGTCCACAAAGAACCACCAGTACCATTACATGTACAAAATCGCGCCATTTTACATCCAAAAAAGGCAAACCTAAAACAGAAAAAAATGTTAAAAAAAAAAACTTGGACTAAGTACTTATCTTTATACCAGTTCAAGTAATCACCAAAACCTGGAAGAATCAAAAGAGTCCGGAACCGCTAGGAGAATCGAAAAAGTCCATCACCGGGAGAATAGAAAACGTCTACTACCAGGAGAATCAGAAGAGTCCAGAACAACCGGGAGAATTGAAAAATCTACATCATAAGAATCGAAAGAGTCCACCATCGGAGAATCAGAAGAGTCGACAATCGGGAGAATCTAAAAATTTAACGTCAGAAAAATCGAAAAAGTCCACCACCGGGAGAATCAAAAAGTCTACAAAGAGCCACCGGTGCCATTACTTGTTCCAAACGCATCATTTTATGTCCAAAAAATAAAATAAAATAAAATAAAATATTAGTAAGAAAAAAGAAACAAGAAACAAAACAAAACAAAAAAAACAAACTTGAACTGGTACTTCTCTTTATACCAATTTAAGTAATCATCAAGACCCGGAAGCATCAAAAGAGTCCAAACCACCGAAGAATCGAAAAGGTCCATCACCGGGAGAATCAAAGAGTCCACAACGAATAACCGGCACCATTAAATGTTCCAAAGAGTAAACCTAAAAAGAGAAAAAAATGTTAATAAAAGAATTAAAAAAAAAAAAAAAAAAACAATAGAAAACTTGGACTGGTACTTATCTTTATACCAGTTCAAGTCAATCACCAAACCCGGAAGAATCAAAAGAGTCCAAAATAACAACCAAAATCGCCGAGAAATCTCAAAAGACACCAAGAAAAACTAACGTTAAACAAAGAAACTACGTACACTGAAGACAAAAATCTCCAGGAAACGACGAAGAAAATCTCCTTAAACGACGAAAAAATCTGTGAACGACGACCTAAAAATTTTCAGCAAAAAGAAAAAAAAATCAAGATTTTTGTACAATTAGGACGATTAAGGGCCGGGATCGGTGTTGTTACAAATAAAACGTGTAATAGGTTGTTACACGTACATTTATTATCTTCTTTTTTCTAAATTTTCTGTGTAGTAGTTTTCGTATTCTTTTTCTGCTTAGTAGTTTTCGTATTCTTCTTTTTCCTAAATTTTTATAATAATAATTTTCGAAAATGAGAAAGATACAGTGTAGATAAAATAAACAGAGAAGGACGTTCACAGGAAAGCCTGTGGCCACGATGCGCTTCCAGTTCTCCAGTATCATACCCGCACTTATCCCGGTGAGGCTTTTAGCTCTTGCATTATGCTCACCACATCGACTCCGATTGATGGCCCCAGACAGGCGATAACGAGACGTGCAATGATCTTGAAAAGATCGTGCGCTATGCGTACCCCCCTGATTGCACACCAACCGATGACATGTGGAATGTTGCATAATACTCACCACAATCTCTCGGTGGGACTCCTTCTCGTTAGGATTTTTGAAATACTAACCTTTAAAATTACACCATTTCTCTCTCGCAGTCGTCTGTTTTCTTCGTGTTTTTATCGAAACCTCAGTGTAGTAGTTATTCTTTTTTCTAAATTTTTATAACAATTATTTCTAAAGGTGAGAATATTAGATAAAATAAACATTACGTTAGGATTTATTCTAAAGTAAAAATATAATACTTACCTTTTAAATTTACATTATGCTTTCTTTTACGCGTTTTTGTCTAACTTCAGCATAAAAATATATAAGAGAAAAGAGTAATAAACAAAAAAGTAGTTATAAGGATCTAAATTATTTTTTGTCGGAAAAACACTGTTGATCACACGATTTTGTGTAACAGAAACAAAAAATTTTTATCAAGTGAATTAATTATACGATACGTATTGTATATAATTGATGACTATATTCCTATTGGTATGCAATTATTATCCATTAAAATATTCAATACAAAAGTACAGTACCATTAAAAATTGAAAAATGGGTTGTGATGGATGGGTTAGACATACAGTGGCTTCCAAAAAAAAATGCATCACCTGAATACAAAATTTTGAGCTCGCATATATCTCCAACAACAAGTTATATTTAATGCTAAAATTTCAGCGAAATTGAATCACAAAATCTCGATTGTGTCACGATTTGGCGATGCATTTTTTTTTGAGAGCCTTAATTAAAATATAATAGTGATTTTAACTTTGAGCAAGAATATTACCAGATAATTTTAGTTTAAAGAAGTTATCTGATTGTTTTATATAAGGTTTTTGGTATTTAAAAATATCCTTGAGCATTAAAATCAGTTGGGTCCTCATCGAGGTGTATGCAATTTTAGCCAAACAAAACATCGTAATTATTATGAAATTTTTAATCACGATGGTTTGTTTAGCTAAAATTGCATATACCTCGATGAAGACCCAACCGATTTTAACGCCCAAGAATATTTTAAACGCCAAAAACCTATATAACAATCTGATAACTTTAAACTAAAATTATCTGGGCTCCTGTTGGTATATTCATGTTCAAAGTTAAAATAACTATTATATTTAATTAAGGCTCTCAAAAAAAATGCATCGTCAAAATTTGACAAAATCGTAACGCAGATCGAGAAAGAGTTTTATGCCAATTAAACAAAAAAGAATTTATTTCAAAATAACCTGTTGGAGAGCTCAAAATTTTGTTTTCAGGTGATGCATTTCTTTTGGGAGCCACTGTATGTTTATAGATCGGAGGGCCAAAAATATTTGAGGTCAAAATATAATTGCATATGATTATCGATTACAAATTTACGTAACTTGGAGTTAATCACCTAGTTTATCGGGTCTGGTGACCAAATATTCAAATCTGGTGACCAAATATTAGCTAAATTCATAAACGCGTAATGATTATATTCTACTGGCCAAGGAATTTTTATCAGTTGGTTGTTGAGATATCTTTAAAGTTTTTTCAAAGAAATCTATCGCATCTTCTATTCAATAGATAATTTGAATCATGATGCGATTTTGATCGAATATATCTTGACGACCAACTGATTTATTTTAGCTCTACGAATCTTGGAATTTAAATAAAAATTTTTAATAAAAAAAAAAAAACGCTTATATAGTTGTCTCTTAGTAATTAGAACTTGGTAAATTAAAATATTTTAATATAACAAATATTATTTTTTTAAACAAAAAACTTTTATAGATTAACATAAGAATCTTTGTTTTCAAGATGATTATTTCACAGATAATAAAGTTGATTATTTCACAGATGATAAGGTATATCATTAGTTCGTCATAATGTCCAAGATATATACTTTAATTTATAATTTTCAAAAATAAAGATATCTCCGTCAGCGATCGAAATTGGATCAATAAGTTATATAAAAAGTTATTAATCCAATCTTTTAATTACAGTATTATACCTATATTTGTTTATATATCGTATTTTCATCTGTATTTGTTATACCTTCAATGCGTTGAGTTTATATTTTGGGTAATATTAATTATTTCGTAATAACGCATAGGTATATACGTAATACTGGTTCCGATCGTTCCGGCCCAATTTTCTAATTTTCTAACCTAATCTGGCACCCATGATGTCTGGGTACTAAGTAATTATGATGCGATCTGACTAATAAAGTTAATTATTTTTGATATGCTTCGAATTTTCATCATTTTATTAAATGATGTGACGTTAAAAAGCTAGAACTTTCAAAATGAGAAAACGAGCGCAGTTTAGAAAACCGACCTTTCAAAATTTTAAATAACTTATATATATAAAGCATTCTTGAATTTTTTATTTGAATGATTTTATCTGAATAATATCTTTCTATAAAATTTATTAATGTTTTCAAACAAAGCCGATCCACCCATTTCATATGATATAACCAACTCGCAAAATGAAAGATCTCAAAATGAAGATTCTGCTGATTTATTTTCACAATCTTCACAAAAATCTCGAGACTCTAAAACTGCCTCTTTTCCTTCGTATTGTTTATTTGTCACTTTTGTAGCCGTTATTGCGTCATTTGAAAATGGATGGAATCTCGGTGTCACAAACATTCCTGGTATGTGCGAGAAAAAACAGTATCACGTGACAATAGATTTATGAAATTTTTTTTTTTGCAAGAACAAACAATTAGGAATTGTACGTCTGAACCCCAGCGTAAGGGTTTTAACGAGTATCTTAATTTTTATTTAATGATTTTGGAACTTTCGGCCTTACTCAAATCTTCAGGCGCACGAAAGATAAGTACTTTATTTTTATTTTTATATTACATTTTTCTTTACTAATCATATTATTCTAATTATTTTATTATTTCTTTTAAGTTTCATTAAACAATCCCTCCATTACCGCTACTCAACTGGTTCTCTCCTTTTACGGGTAGGGTTTACTTTTGTTTTTCTATTTTTAAGTATTTTCGTTTTACTTACTAATAATAATAATAATAATTTTTTTTTTTTTATATAAATCCCCTTTTTTTCTTTCGCATTAGTCTTTTTCATTCCCTATTCAGCAGACTTTCTCTTTTAGATTTTTAGCCCGTTGATTATTAATTAAAATTATCTAATAATTTTACTTGACATATCATCTTGCGCAAGGTGCATGAAGTTGCGGGTGTTAGAACTTTGTTATCTTGCGCGAGGTACATCTCTAGTTTTAGCAACATCCGTGACAATAAATATGATATCAAGTTTGTAATATTAGGAAGCATGTAGTCAATTTCTAACGATTAATTTGATATGGTCCTATAAGCGGTAAACATATGGTGTCTTTGCCTTGAAAATGACGTTATGGGACATAGTAAATAATATGATTCATACTTGATTTTCAAGGCAAAGGCCCCATATTTTGTCTTCTAAGTGAAGTTCTTCAGGTTCCCGATTATTTTCCTATTCACATTCTTGCAACCCGAACAGGGCCGATGATTTTCTGCGGTAGATTCCGTCCGTGCTAAATTGTAAATTCTGCAAGGTTTCCGTGGTATTTTTATGGTTTCTGCGATCTTTTGATATAAAATTTCAAAATTTTTTCTTTACATTTGCCTAAAAAAAAAAAAAAAAAAAAAAAGGATCTGAAATTTAAAATTTTCGACCTAAAGTACGCCAATTGGCGTCCCTTCGTCGAAAGGGTTGTTAAAAAAAAAAAAAAAAAAAAATTTCGACCATTTTCGTGGCAGTTCTGCGATATTTACGACACTTTCTGCATCCACACCTCAATTCCGTGATTTCTGCGGCATTCCATGCGACGCAGAAAATCATCGGCCCTGGACCCGAGTAATTGATTTGCATCAACTAATCAGACGAATGTCCTTCCATGAGGTCAGATCCAGATGATTGAATCGAATCGGCCAATCAGAAGTCACTGGAACTTCCAGAGAAAAAAAATCTTCATTGGAACGGTTCAGTGACATTCGACCACTGGAAGCTATTATGCTTCCGATTCACATCCAGTTAAGTCCATGACCTTCCAGTTCCAATAATTCGCACTGGAACGTTCCAGTGAACAACACTGTATATATATATATATCAGATATACATATCGATATATCAGATATACAATCATTCCGTTAAAATAAAGTGCATGTGATTGCATATCACAATTATCCATACACGTGGCAGAAACTTTCGTTTTTGTGATACCGTTACGGTAATTAAATTGAATTAAATAGAATCTGAGCCAATAGTTAAATTCGAAAAAAATAATGTCTACTTCTAACGACTTATATAATCATATAATATCCTGTATTTTATCTTTTAATTCAATAAAAATATCCCCAAAAACATTAATGAATCATGTTAACGGTTAGTTTGGTTAGTTTTGTATTAATTTCTAAAAGATGGTATGATCTAAAAAAAAATAAATAAATAAATTGCAGATATTATGGCTGTTGCATTAGGAATTAGGTAATGTTATAAAATCTTTTAAAAATAAATTTTGTCAATTATGATGGTATATCTTTATTTCTATTATCAGAGCCGCGTACCTTGTCGATTTTACACTTTTAACACTAGATGAATCTAAGACACTTTTATCATCTTTCCAAAAAGTAATTAATATAATATAATTGTGTATGATAACTAACGATGGATTCTCGGTCCTAAATGACACTGACCAGTCTTTGGAAGTATCAAAGACTGTGCGTACGTATGTACGTGCAAAAGAGGAATGAGAATTCAATTTTTGCACAAAAGTTATTCTACTGATTAATAAAATTCAGAGTGCCGAGAGACCATATCTATTACATATTTAAATGCCTCATGTAACTTTTATAAAAAAATTTCTCGATAAATTTCAGAATGTAAACCTATTCAATATATGCATTCTGCAATTCTCCGATACTCACACGTTTATTTGTAATTATAAATTGATACTTACAAAACTCGAAAAAGACTTAATCAATGAGTTTGAAAGTAATGTGTTTGTCGACGTCGCATGGCATTGCAAAGAAGGTGGAAATAAGGAACCAAAAGTGGTATGTTTACATCTAAAATAAAAGCCGATACAATTTTTGATATCTGTTAAAGACGAATATAATTTATAAACTTTACTTTTAGATCAATACCCCATCTTCTTTTAGAACCTTTTTGGAAACGTGCGTTAAACCTTTTTTTTCAGAATTGTCAGATTTTCATTTATCATCTTCAATGAGAAACTCGGAAGTGCTCTTCATTCCTACGACTCCAACCTGTGCAATAACATTCACTGGCTGGATACTTGAATATCCCGCAATTTATGTTCTCGATTCTGTGCCTGATAGTGTGGATATGTCATTCGATGTTCAAACGATGAAAAATTGCCTTGGAAGTCAAGATTTGAAATTATATCGTGCGTTCTTGAAGATTCATGAGATTAGCAATAGTGAGATTAGAAATGGCTACATGAATGATAAAACCCATGAGTACTTATATTTTCGGACGATTTTTTTTCTTTGTTTATGTAACCATATTCATATATCTTTAAATAGACACACGCTATTAAGCTTTAGCATTCCTTCCCATATCTGGTACCATCTCCAACAAGAAAAAAATCAACATGTACAAAATGATGATGTGATAACTACCATTTTAAAAAATATTTTTATTCCGAGAATTAAAAATCAAACATATTGGAATTTAGAGTTCAGGGTTGAGATTAGCGATATTTGTTTGCCTGTTGTTGTTTTGTAGATAGTTCTTTTAGTGTTGTAATTTTACAAATGATGCCTTTTTTACTTGTCTTTGTATTCTCATACTTTAATTATGTTAGAGTTTTGGGTTTCATGATGCTCTTGTTTTGAATTTTTTAATATTTCTGTTTATCGAATTTTGAATTTTTGTAGAATTATTATTTTTGTATTTGGATATTTTTTTATTTTTTTATGATTATTATGCAATTTTTTTTCGTTACTTCTTTGTGTATGTTTTGTATAAATGTCTTTTATTAAATAAAAAATATATAAAATGATAGCTTAAAATCAATTTATTAATTTATATAAACTCTTTTCAGAATACATAAATTTTGGAGCAGAGAAAATAAAATATCTAAAATAAACTCAAATAACAGAACAAACAAGGCCAAAAGACTTACTAAAACAAAAGCACTTGTTCTTGTTTTAAGAAAAGATCTTTTGCTGAGTTTCAAAATATAGAAAATACAAAAAAATTAAATATCTTAACTAAAGAAACATCTCTTAACACAAATAAAGAAAATAGTTTAAAGTTAGTTTTAAGCAAAGAAAAAACTTTTTAATTTAACTCAAAAGAAAAACAAGTCTTATAAGAAAGTTTTTTCTTAAACTCTAAAAGCTAAGATAATCAAGCTGAAAATAAAATAAATAAATTTAAGTTCTAATTACTTAAAATAGATAGCAAAAACAATATATACAAAAAAGATATAAAAAAAAGCAATAACAAATAACAAGATTTGGTAATTTTAGTATAATTAGTAGGTTGTCAAATTGTTATATAGTAGGTTTGAAGTTCAAATTTTATTGTTAATGAATTTGAAAATTAGATCTATATATTATAAGATTTTGTTTATTTTTAGAGTTATAATTTTGTTAATTAAATAGTATCTAATTGACCTAAATATAGAAGTATAATATAATATTATATAAATTAATCTTGATAAAATATATGAACAAATAACTTGTATAGTAAAAATTCTAAATAATAAAATAGAATAATATATAATAGTTTTAATAATAAATTTTGAGGTCTGGTGATCTTATTGTAGTAGTTAGATTGTCGAACTGCTATGTAAGAGGTCTGGAATTCAAATCTCACTATTGATGAATTTGAATAATTACTCAGACCTTTGTATCTAACTTACAGTAAACTCTGTTCGTTTCTGAAGGTTGTAATCTTATAAATCATGTTATACTAATATCAATTAGATATTGGAAGTATAACACAATATTTGAGTTATATTGCAAGAATAAATTTTAATAGGATTTACGAACAGAGGATCTGCATAGTAGAAATCTCAAATTAGATAAAATAGTACAGATTTCAATAGTCATACTAGTTAACACTTGATTCAAAAAAGAAGCCTGTGTATAAAAGTTGCAGATCAAGCAGGTACAAGTAAGTCTGCTGTATAATACAATCTAGTACTTTGCATTAGTAGCAACACCAACTTGGCTTAGCAGCTAACTAGATTTAGGAGGATCTGACTCATGAAACTTCCAAATATATAAAGGACTAATTTAGTAGAAAGCCACAGTAGGAACTAGGTTTGTACAAACACCTATAAGGGTATATGCTAGTTTAATTAGGATATAGCATAGCATAGTTAGGGTATTCTGTAGGCTCTATCTGAAAAAGACAAAAAGGGTACCTTGAGATAGAGCCTTCCTTATAAGAGAAACTAAGGCATAAGGCTAGTTTAAGTAGTCCTTAAAGAGGCAGCACAAGATTGTGCAAGTTTAAAAATAAAATTAGATTAAAGTTAGAGATAATAGTATATCTGAGAGTTTAAATAGAGTAGTCACAAATATGTACTAGATATAGCAATTGGTAAGTAACTTTTGAGCAGAATCTTTAAATAGACAATGATTAAAGTTGTATATATAACTAATTGTACTCTTACTAACTAATATAAATCTACAAATTATTCAATAAAAATTAACTAGTATCAAGACCTTGTTATAAAAAAAAAAAAAAAAAAAATAATAAATTTTGAAATTTTGAAAAAGAAAAGTTATTCTAAGATTTTTTTATTTTTAA